AAATATCTCATGGGATTTTAGAAATTTTTTCTGCCAGTGTTTCAATCCTCGTTTTTGCCTAGAAGTGAATTACAGTTGTGCATTTCCAGCATTAATAGACCATAACAAGACTATAACAGTTCCTGTCCTTAACCCAGTTGCTATTAGCACTCTCTTTCTTCATGTCTGACCAGCCGCTGCCTTTGGCAGCAATCTAGTCTTCGGGACATGACGGCCGAGGTTTCAATTGTGATTCCATATCGGTAAATTTGGTCACAACTCATCACGGTTGCGCAGTGAGTTTATTAGTGTTCTTTCTTCCACATGGCCGGATATTTTTCTCAACCTTTCACAGCATTTTTGAGAAGCCATCGAAGCCGAGATGCTTAACTGTAAATCATTTTGAAAATCACCCTATTACCACTGTGACATAGTGGAAGTTGAGCTAGGACGAAAAAATGCATGAATGATATCCAAATTTATACTGAAGAACGTATTGGCTTTCAGATCTCCTAAGACAAATCAAGAATCTAACACATTCGATTGCGCGGTAGTAACCACCATGAATCACTTTTGACTCATTGCTAAGATGATGATCCCATTAAAATAATTTGAAGTGTTAACATAGCAAGGTTATATATATAGTGTAATGATGCAGACGTTTTGATTATGCTATTTCTTTTGGCAACGGCAGAATTTTGTCATGAAAATGTACATTTTTCGGATGTAACAATTATTATTATGATTAGGCAAACACTGAAAACTAGAGTATTACGTCACTTGAATAATACTTCAAGTTTTTGATTCTGGGTTCCTAGTTGTATAAACAGGTTGAACCTTGATTTGTTCAACTTATCTACATTACGTCACTTAAGCCAAATTGTAAAACTTGGTCCCATTAAAAGTGTTTTTTGTACTCCTCACATTTAGATACTTTGCTAAACGTATTTCTGGCCATCGCTGTTGATAATTTGGCCAATGCTCAAGAACTGACTGCAGCTGAAGAGGCTGACGGTCAGGCACAAAATGAAGTTTCCGCATATTCGTCAATGGAGTCACAAGTAAATGAGGTATTCTACAAAACGTTTTGACTTCTCTGCGTAGGACAAGGGGAAGGAGGACATGGAGATCAAACCAGTGGTCGATAACTCTAACTCTGAGTCGCTAATGTTTTTTCCGGATGGAAGAACATCTGTCGATAACCCTGTCGTGAAAAAGCAAAGGTAAGCATTCTGCCACAAACATGTTTGCGAATTCTCATCATTTTTTTCAGTGATGTAGATCCAAAGGAGCCATCTCTGTTAGAGAAATCAAATAAAGGTAGTGTTGCTCGTTGCACTGATTTCATCTATGAGTTTCTTTTTAGACTCTGAAGACACCGACGATCTCGAAAATGCATTCGGATACCCGCGTAAAATAGTTCCATACAGCTCTATGTTCATCTTTTCCACTTCCAATCCGTAACGTTTAATTTATATGATATATTTGACAGCTTTTGTTAGTATAACTTCAGTGAACTGCTGGCTTAAGTTTGTAATTATAAAATATGTGCCATAGCAATGTATTATTGCCGTTATTCCTGAAAAATGTCTATTGCTATAAATACGCTCAGACTCATATTGATTTAACTTATAACAAAGTTTGCAGGAACCTTTATTCTGTGGCCGAAAGTCCAGCCTGAGAATCTATGACTTCAAGCAGGCAGTCAACTAATTTAGGATGTTTATAAATTAGAGACTATAGCAAAAGATTGAACAAATCCAATCAGTTTGGCAACGATGGGTTCGCAATGGTTTACGCATTGCTCTTTCCTTCGTGTGATAAATTGTTTGGTTAATTTAATGCATAATTATTGTTTACTGGACTTAGACACTAGATATTAAAATGCTCCGAGAACTGATTGCCCTGTGGGAATAAAAGCGCACCAATCAGTTAGCAAATAGTTTACTGGCCAGCATGATTTAACATATTCAGCAGCTTTTATAAAAATACAGAATCGTTTCGTTTGTATACAATTTCCATTGCACTTCGACATTCCAGTTTACCTCTTGCATTAACTTCCTTCATAACGATCAGAAAGACATTTCACAGCTTGAAGTAAAATAGGCAAGGACGAGCCTAATCTCTGCAGCTTATTTGTATGACGTAATTTACATTCACCATGGTTATTTTTTGTCAGTGATGCGTGTTATAATCGCAAGTAATTTATAACTGAACGAACAAACTTTGCTAAAAATTACTTTCACATTTCCTTAGTCAAGATATAATTCCGCTACAGGCTAAGAGTTCTCGTTCACAAACTGGTCTGCACAAAATATTTCGAGATGGCAGTGATGATAGTAATCTGCTTGAGTAGCATTTCGCTTGCTGCTGAAGATCCGGTGGACGACACAAACCCTCGAAACAAGTATTTGAACTACCTTGATTACCTGTTCACAACTGTGTTCACCGTAGAGATGGTTCTAAAGGTTTGGATTTAACTTTTGTTGTGTTTTCATATTGTTGTGTGGCAATTTCTTTTCATTTAGATCATTGATATGGGAGTGGTGGTGCATCCCGGTTCATACTGTAGAGATCTGTGGAATCTGATGGACGCTACGACTGTCATATGCGCCCTAGTCGGTTTCGCATTTGCGTAATGATTCGTCATTTTATTATTGAAAACTTAGATGAATAGCACTATCGTTTGAGTGTTGAGATTTTTACCCAAGTAATTGAATGTCACAGGT